TTAGGGCTTCCACAAACCATGGTTGACGCCTAGCAGCATGTCATGGTTACCCAAGCTAATCAGAAGAGGTGGAGAACCTATTCAGTTTTAGGATTACAAATGCAATACGGTCTTTCTCTAATACAATACTCTTGACCACATTGTTTGGTTTGATAGTTTATTCATGTCTACTATCCAATGTGAGTCTTGTGCTTATATGATTACCTTGAATGTGATTTGGAACACATTCCTAAATCTCATTCATACTTTGGCCAAAGATTCTTAATCATATCATGGAGTATTCTCCCTCAAACAGTTTGAAGGTTAGAGATCCCTTGTTGCGCATTCACTTGCCTCCATGGCTAAGTGGCTTAACCCCAACGATGCCTTGGACACCCTCCTGATGGAGTGACTTTGACATAATCAAAGATTAAGGACCTAACCACAAGACAACTGTGATGCCTCAGGTCAAAAGACTAATTTGCATTATCCCAACCATGAGTTCTCATGTGACATGAATATGAGAACTCTTCGTTGATCGTGTTCAGTGAACTCATTCTCTATTGAGCACCTACGTACTTGTCTTGATGTCACACACACCAATGACTCGAGACTAGTCACTCTCCCTGAGAGAAGACATAGCACGTACTGATCTTAACGGACTATCAATGCCCAATTGACAATCCTATGATCAGGAACGTTTAGGATGTGTCAACGAAAGAGTGGTCTCATGAATCTAACTTCTTTATCGCATTCTTCCAATCACATATTCCTTGGACTTATCGTTTAAGCATATAACATTTATATGAGACGGCTCAAACAATAATCTTTGCCCTTTACATTTAAACTACATTAGTTTGAAATGTCCGTAAAGTATCATCATATGATTGGTTTTAGGGCACATTTCCAACACTGCCCACACGTAAAACAACCACTGCTGCCACGCCTACACTCACCAAAATGCCGATTATTACACCTGCGGAAAAGTGGGGCCCTACCTCTGCCACCATCACCCTGTCTCTGGCCTCTAGCACCATCAGCAAACCTACCTCCACGTCCCTGACCAGTGGCGCTGAAACCACCGCTAGAAGAGCTAGAACTAGTACCACCCCTCTTGAAGTTCTGAGTCCGACGAGGCCCGAGCGATGCTTGACCTTTACCCTTATCATCTTTCTTCTGATTACCGTTCTTCTCTTCCTCATCACTCTCGCTCGACATGTTTTCTGAGTCCTCAACCCTCAGTAGAATCTCATAGAAGTCCTGGTAAGTATTACAATGAGTAGTGGTCGCCATCGAACGCCATTTCTTCTTAGTGCCTAAGCGAAAACGACGAAGCATCTCCGCCGGATTACTCACAATCTCAGGATGATAGCGAGACAAATCAGTGAAGTTCCGATAGTACTCATTCGCTGTCAGCTTCCTCTGTTTCAACTCAGTAAATTCCAGCTTCTTACGATCAATGTACTCAGGGGGCACAAACCTTCTCTTGAATAAATTAATGAAAACATCCCAATCAGTTTTCTCAGCTGGAGTCAAACGACGAAGTTCCTGCTCCCACCAGGCTGCAGACTCCGAACCCAGAAACCACGAGGTCGTCTCTACCCACTTCTCGACAGGAAGATTCCCCTGACTATTCAGAACACGAAAAGTCTTCCCAATGTGCTCTAACCATCGCTCTGCCCCCTCATGACCTTCATTACCTTCAAACTTATCCAACTTCAAATTATACATAGTCTCCAGAGGAGTCCTCTGGGGAGGGCGGATCGCTGACTGAATAGCGGTAGCAATAACTTCCCCCAGCTGAGCAATATCGGGGAAACTAGGCTCAGCACAGCGACGTGGTTCCCGACGAGGCGGCATAGTTCTGACAGAAGACACCAAAACCATTAGAATACTCACAAAAGTACAGGACTGCCAAACCTAGGCTCTGATACCAAACTGACATACCCCGAGCGAGATCAGGGGGTGCTGGCTGTCACGTGGAAGTGACGTAGCCATGTGCACAGTGCGGAAGCTAATAAAGTAGTAACGTAAAAGTACGAATAAATAAAAACTAGCATACAAGGTAATAGTAATAAGTGCTAGCGTAAGTGAGACACAATTTCAGAGCAGAAAGCCTAAAGCAGTCCAACTAAATTGACACGACAACAGTACACCCGAAGGTGGCCCTACGCTGGTGATCGTCTGTCAGAAATGCCGGGAAAGCCCTCTGGGAAACCACCAAATCAACTGAACAGCTAGAACCTAGAGGGGCGCAAAACAAAAGCGTGAGTGGGCAAAAACAAAGCTTTTCGAAAACTATTTCAAAAACAATATTCTAACCCCTCGCCGTAAAACCTGTATACTTCCCAGAAAATAAACATATGTACGTAGATATAAAAAATGCCAATCATGCTCAAATATATGCCATATCGGAACCACAGAATGAAATGCAAGTGCTCAGGTATAAATCACATCAATAACATATAATCTAGCAGCCGGAGTCACCTAACGTGACCTGTACGGCTGCATCTAGAGCTCAGATCTCAATCACAATAACTAAACCTGCCCACGAGTCGGAACCACCTAAAGTGGTCTGTACGACAGGCCTGGGTGTAATACATATAGACACTCTAGTGCTACAATCACGTGAAGGTTGTGCGAATAATCGCAGGTCACCTACGAGTCGGGACCACCTAAAGTGGTCTGTACGACAGGACTGTGCACCTAACTTGGATCCAAGCTGAGCGTGTGCTGAACAACCACGTGAAGGACTGTGCCCTACTCTGGGCGGGAGCACTAATACCGGGGGTGCAGGTTATGAGCTCTCTAAGCATCTCGAATCACTACTGAACATAAATGTGAATACACTTACCTGTGCGTCCACGGCACCAATATACGTACGAACATATATATATATATATAAATGCAACTAATCATGCATAATCACCAACAATATAAAAATGGCATATAACTAATAAACATTTAAATCAATTTCTGGGAAATATAAGTATATAGGTATATACGGAAAACCAAAAGCCCACTCACTGATAAGTGGAAGGGTCGTAGCCCCCCTGCCTCGAGTGACCATGCTCGTCCTCGGGATATGTCTCACCTATATGCGAAATAACTATAAAACGTTAATTTTAAAGTACATAACCAAACTTTAGAAATAACTTCTCATACAATGCTCAAATGGGGTGTATTCATACACACCAACGTGATCTACTCAACCTCACGAACAACCCCAAATTTTTAAAATAATTTTTCACCGCCGCACGCGCCCCCATGCGCCGGCCAAGGCACGGCCACACGCGCCGGCCAGGCGCAAGCACGTGCCTGGCACGCTGACGGCGTCAACTGACGCCGTAGGGAATATTCCGTCAGTTTTGACAGATTCCGTCAACGGCGTCAGGAATATTCCGTCAGATTTGACGGAATATTCCGTCTTCTTCCCTGGCGAGTCTCCGGCGCCGGCGAAAACTGGAAAATTTTCAAACTTCGATATCTTCTTCGTTTTTCAACCAAATTCCACGATTTTGGTACCAAAATGAAGCTTAGAACTAGAGGAACACAATCATACCACTTTCAAGGGTTAAAAACCACAAAATCTCACCTGAAAAATCAATCCAACTCCGGCCAACTTCGATACCAACGATCCCGACATCCAATTCCTTCAAACGAACTACTCTGAGCCTTCTTGGGACCTCACCAAGCTTCCTACAAGCTTGGAATTTCCTAAAACGTGAGAAATCACGTGTGCATGAATAGTACCTCAAATCGGACATTGTTGAATCGACGTGAAAACGACGGAGTTCTTACCTGGAATGGTACGGTTGGACTCCCACGAGCCTCACGAGCTTGAATATGGTCTTGGTTCCCTCGATCTGTGGACGTTTGATAGGTTTGTGGGTGTGTCCGTACGTTTTCAAAGGAAATGGGAAGAAACTGGGCACGGGATAGGGTGCAGGGAAAGGGACAAAAGGGTGTGGAGTGTGGGAGTGTGTGTGTGGCTCAAGGTATGCCAACAAAACCCAAAACAACAAATAAACGTAAGGAAATCGAACTAGGGGCAAAATAGTCTTTTCACGCGTACGTTTTAGACATTTCCGGGACGGGCTGTCACATAAAGCCATAAAATCAAGTAACAAAAGAAATTCAATCAGTTAACAACTGTATAATCCTTCTTGATTATCATCTTGAATCATATCTGATTAGTTATACTTTACATTAAATGGCATGAGTACTAAATTGTTACCTTTGGGGATTAAAGAGCCAATTCCCTAAGGGATTAAACCCACGGTGAATTGCTCTAGTGGAATGCCTTCTCAAGTTAATAAATAAAATTATATCTATAAAAAAATAAAAAATAAAAAATAAAAAAAAATAAAAAAAAAACCCTTTTATGTTGTAAACATTGGTGGCTGACCACTAAATGATGTAATGAATGACTATATCAACCACTTTAGAACACTATAGCTTAGCTGGCAGCAAGGCAGCAAGCACTATCATATGTGCCTATAAAAAGAAATGTTGAGGATGAGAGCAAACAGATAGAAGCCACAAGGCTCACGGAAGAGGAAGAGTGAAAAGAGAGGGAGAAGAGAGGAGATAATAAAGAAAGTTATTTTGTACTCTTATTATTCTAAATTATAATGAAAACACCACTGCTGCTCCAAGAACGTACTCCAGTCATACTGACTGTAGAGGAACCTCGTAAATTTTATGTCTTGTTTTATTTATTCCACTGCACACACCGTCAGTTTTACAACACTTCAATACTTTTTGCTTACCTATGCTTGCGAAAAATATTCAAAGAGTGTGTTCCGGCAAATCCCTTGTCAGCTATGTTCCACTTTCTTAGTGCAAAGTTTAATAAATGGATCATGGCCGTTAGATTATTAGCAAAAAAATCACCTTGTCAGCTATGTTCCACTTTCTTGGTGCAAAGTTTAATAAATGGATCATGGCTGTTAGATTATTAGCAAAAAAGAATGACTAACAAGCCAAAAATCTGATAACTATTTCAACGATTATGGATCTCAGGTTCAAACTACGACTAACATTCATCGTTGTTGGATTCTTCGTTAACAATTCAATGACTAATACGCCAAGAATTCACCGACTACTACGCCAAGAATCCAACTAATATTCCAACGATCATGTTCATGGTATGAGCCGGTCCGTACTTCCCAACTAAAATTATTTAAATCTATAAAAACATATATTTTTTATGAGAAGGCACAGATGACAACTAATGAATTCTGAGAGTTCATGAGCCATACTTCCCAACTTTGGCAGCAATAAGAGACAGGACAGCAACGCAGCAAAACACGAACATCTAAGAAGCGTCTAGAAACTCGAATGAATTCCTCCAAGAAGCGTCAACGGTTAAGTTTGAGAAATTATGATTGACAAGCAAGAACACTATCCAGTCTGACACATTAAAAGTTTGAAACTTTTCAGTAGGAGAAACTGAGTTAATAACAAAAACTTAATGCTGAACAAATCCCTCTGATCTTATTTCAAATTTGCCAATGTGATCTGAAGCATAGCTTCCTTTTGTAAGATAAATAGAAGTTGCATCAGGGAAGATGGCATCTTCACGAACATCTATAGGCCTTTTAAACAAAACACTAGAGCTTCAAAGGTTTAAGAATTCATAAATAGCTCAACCAATTTGTTTAAAGATGCTACATAGTTTATTTAACCCGTTTTGCTCACAAGGGCTACTACAGTGGACACTCGAGATTATTCATTAATCCTTCGTGATACATGGTTATATGAATATATTGATATGTGAAAGAGTTGCACTTCTTAATAATACAGTTGGGTATATGTCCCAATTAGTTGCATAAAAAGAAAAATAAAAAGCAGCTTGAGAGAAAACCTGTCTCCAAGATGGTATGGGCAACATGAAATGGAATCCTTGCAAAGACATCAGTTCCCGGGAACATCATCCAAGTGCGCTCATTTGAATCATGGTTGCCACAGGTAGGGCATACCTCCTTCACCAGAGGTCTTGATTGAGGCCCCCCAATCTCCTTCATTATTGACTCAAAAGGAGATGGAACACTAGTTTTGGTTGTCCGAGCTATCTTCCTCAGAGATGTAAGTGCTTCTCTGTTCCCATTCCTCACCCTGTCATTTTCAACCATCTGCGTTTCCATCATAACAAACACCAAATCTCCATTGTGTTACTAACACGACACAATAGAATACTAACTTTAACAAAACTGAATTAGTTCACATAATAAAGCCACTCAACTGCACTGGGATTGTTGACCAAAAAAAAAATAAAAAAACACTACTGGGAATGACGGTTTAACAAAACCCAACATAAATATATCAGTTAGAAAGGGACCAACCGACCAAGGGAATTTTGAAAAATTAAGCTGGGTAACAAGGGTTTTTTTTTAATGTCGACAAGTAACTAAATTGTAATAGATTAATTTTTCCAGACAGTTTCATACGGGCTGCAATATCTAAAATAATAATCTTATGGTTCCAATCATTTAATCAAACCATTTGTTATTGAAACTTTCCAATCCTTTAATCTAATCATTCATTATTGAAATTTATGAAATGTACTGTTGACGTCCTGCTTGAATTCAAACTTTCCAATTTCACAGCTACTTCTCAAAATTTATCTTTGTTAACGGTAAAACATACAAGTCTGTAAAGAAGAAGCTAGAGGTATAAATTACCTGGTTTCGAGCTAGGAGGAGACGCTCAGCTTCAGTCTCGAGTTCAATTAAGCTTTTCTGGAATTGCTTCATGGTCTCATCCATTCTTTACTTGTCAATAAGCATCCACCTAATTGTATTCTGAAACTTAAGCAATTATATGGCTATGCTTAGTCTCTAAATGAAAACTTTGTCAGGGAATAGAAACCAGAACAGTAGTCCAAAAAGAATTATTGTTGTGCCTTGGCCCGTTCGTCAGTGCGGAACCGAGATTCAGATTACAACCTCACCAATTTCACACACAGTTGAACAAAATAAAATACAAGAAATAAAGACACCGAGAAATTTACGAGGTTCGGCAAAAAACCTGCCTACGTCCTCGGAGAGATATTGCTCTTCACTATGAGAAAAAAACAGTACAAGTTACACATGAGTTAAATCGACATAACCCAATCCCATATCCCTTGTACACCCACTCACAGAATTTTCCCAAGAGCCTCACTCTATCCCAAGAGTTCTTTCACAAGAGATCTTTCACTCTAGCTCTCTTGATTTCTATCTTCAACTCTCTCACACCCGTGCCCTTTTTCTCTGCAAAAAAGGAGCTCTTTCTTCTCTCTGCAAACCGAGCTCTTTTTCTCTCTTGCCAACCGAATTGTGCTCTCACACTCTTTTACTTCCTTTTTAAACCGAAATGAGCCCTCACGGGTGTTTAAGACACCAAAACTTTTTCCTTTTGCTTTTCCTTTTTTTCCTCCTTGCTTTTCCCTTTTTTCCTCCCCAAAACAAGGAAAGATGTTTTCTTTCTTTCTTTAGCCGAAAGGTATTTTGGAGGATAGTCCTTGGCCATAAACTCCAACAATCTCCACCTTGGCCAAGCTGTACCAAAGTCCATTGGCCTTACGTACCAGCATGCACACTCTGAATCAACCTCATTGGTCCTGTTCCGATTCAGTCACTGCCAATGCATGTGCAGCTGCTGCAAGCAAAAAAAAAAAACATTTAGCTTCAGACAGGATCTCGACACATCCTCGTCTCCTCCAGCAGGTTTTCCTCCTCTTCATTGTCTGCAACTTGGAAACTTGTCAGTGCACCCATTTCCAGCAACACCCGTCGAGCCAGACAAACATTCCTCACACTTCTCATTCTTCAGGACCATCTCATCACCTGTGAATCCCATAGCTCCACCTGCTGCAAAACCCCTGCAACACTTGAGACTATACATCACCAAGAGATGTGTTGCTTCGAATACCTAGAGGGCATACTCGAAGTCTTCCGCCACAAAATTGCTGCTACCTGGACCAAGATCATCCTTTCTTTTTCTCAAAGGACAATTTATCTTTTTATGCCCGAATTCTTTGCAGTCATAGCATTGTGGTCCCTTGCCTTTGGAGCTTGATTTGAACCTATTGTCTCTCTCAAATCCTCCTCCCAATTTTCTTCCATGATTCCAACCTTGAACAGCTAAAGCAGTCTCGTGCCCACCATCAACAATGGTCTTCCTCTTTTGTGTATCATAAGACACCAAAGAAGCCTGCACCTGCTCCAAACTTACTGTATCTTTTCCATGCAATAAGGTTGTCACAAGATTCTCATACGAATCTGGAAGTGAGGTAAGAAGTAAAAGGGCTTTATCTTCTTCCTCAACCTTAACATCAACTTTCCTCAATTGATCCAAGTATCCATTGAACACATTCATGTGGTCCATGAGATTCCCGCCTTCATCCATCTTCAGCTTGTACAGCTTCCTCTTCAGATGTAACTTGTTGGTCAAACTCTTAGCAATATAGAGTTTTTCCAACTTCTCCCACAGTGCAGGCGCAGAATCTTCATCCATAACATTGTTGATAATGTTATCAGCTATGCAGTGTCGAATCGTGCTAACACAACGCGACTCCAGCTCCTCCCACTGGTCATCTGTCATTTCTTTAGGCTTCCCATCTTTTCCCTTCAAAGCTCTAACCAAGCCTTGTTGAGTCAAGACATCCTTTACTCTCATCTGCCAGAGAGTAAAACTGCCCTTCCCATTAAACTTTTCAACTGAAAACGACATGTTTGTAGTCATCATGGTGAATAATAAATCTGAACCTTCAATGAACCAAAGCTTCCAACAAAGCTCTGATACCAATTGTTGTGCCTTGGCCCGTTCGTCAGTGCGGAACCGAGATTCAGATTACAACCTCACCAATTTCACACACAGTTGAACAAAATAAAATACAAGAAATAAAGACACCGAGAAATTTACGAGGTTCGGCAAAAAACCTGCCTACGTCCTCGGAGAGATATTGCTCTTCACTATGAGAAAAAAACAGTACAAGTTACACATGAGTTAAATCGACATAACCCAATCCCATATCCCTTGTACACCCACTCACAGAATTTTCCCAAGAGCCTCACTCTATCCCAAGAGTTCTTTCACAAGAGATCTTTCACTCTAGCTCTCTTGATTTCTCTCTTCAACTCTCTCACACCCGTGCCCTTTTTCTCTGCAAAAAAGGAGCTCTTTCTTCTCTCTGCAAACCGAGCTCTTTTTCTCTCTTGCCAACCGAATTGTGCTCTCACACTCTTTTACTTCCTTTTTAAACCGAAATGAGCCCTCACGGGTGTTTAAGACACCAAAACTTTTTCCTTTTGCTTTTCCCTTTTTTCCTCTTTGCTTTTCCCTTTTTTCCTCCCCAAAACAAGGAAAGATGTTTTCTTTCTTTCTTTAGCCGAAAGGTATTTTGGAGGATAGTCCTTGGCCACAAACTCCAACAATTATGCCTCCGCTTTAAAGCCCGGTCATCCCAAGAACAAACATAGATGAGCAAATGTGATAATACACAAAGAAAATAATATAAAAAATAAAAAAAAAGAATCCAACGAGCGAAGGAGAAAGAAATATAAGAATTTCATCAACTTCCCAAGTAATATAGAGATCGTCCATCAAGATTTTCTTGCTTAGAAAAAACCATTGTTCTGAAAGCATAAAAGTTGTAGGAAAAGAACAAGAAATAAATAATAGGGAGGGGCAACACAGAGAAAATGAAAGGAGAGGATCAAGCTTTGTTTTCTACTCTAATTGGCAGGCATGAAATAATCATCTTACCTATAAGCATCAAACAATAATCTATATTAGCCTAACTAGTCCAACATTTCCACTCAATTTTAGCAGTTCCGACTGTGAACAACATTAGAAAGGATCACAATCTCTATCAAACACATAAATCAGGAGGTGCACAATATTAGAAAGGATCACAGAATATTGCGAGGTAATCTGGACTCTGACCAAATCACATAAATTTGATACGAAAAATGTCTCTGCTTATAATCGTCTTTGAGACCAAAGCAGCAGTTCCCAAGAGAATGCGTCCAATTGAACCTGATACATGTAAAGAAAGTGTCCAATTAAACCTGACTACTTATTAGTAGGAGACAGTAATCCAAATCCCCCTTTACCCCAATGCCCCATTGCCTAGTACCACTTAACCCTCCCAAAACTCATCACTGACGTCCAACCATCCATAGTTCCATACCTTGATATGATGGTGGTCGGAGTCGGAGTCGGAGTCGAGAGTTGAAACTTGAGAGGAGATGATGGTTGTGCCCGGTGGTCGGAGAAGCGGAGTTCAGGGAGTCTGAATGATGGACGAGAGGCATCAGCCAGTCAGGACGACGAAGGATGAACGGTGGACGGAGCTGGGTCTGAGAAAGGAGATGACCAGTCAGGGAGAGGGAGAGTCGAGTGTGCACGAGAAGCCTCTGAACTGGGAAGTTGAATTATCATGATCTCCCATGAGAGCAACTCCACCCCTATCCACTTTGCGCCAGCATCTAGCCCATTTATCAACTTAATTGAACAGTAACAGACTCAATGAACAGTAATAGGCCAAAGCATCTCCACTCCAAAAAAAAATGTGCTGGCACCTAGTCTAAAAATGCGCTGGCACAAACAATCTCCACCCCTATAAAATGCGCTGACACCCAGTCCATTTAAAATATTAAATAATTTTTTTTATAAACTAATAAAAAAAAATAGTTTTAATTTCAGATAGGATTTTTAACCAATCTCGTCACGCCATGTGTCATTATCCGAACGTACTATTTTTTGAATAGATTTCCGCTAAGATTTTCAACCAATCACCTAGTGCCACGTGGCATTGTCCAGAACCTCATCTTTTTTTTTTTTTGTCCATATAAACCCTACATCCCTACATTCATCCTCACACTAAACTCAATCCTTTTTTTTAGCTCAGAATTCTTCTTTATCGTTTTCAAATCTTGAGTTCTTACAATGTCTTCTTCAACGAGAGCGTATAAACAGTTGCAAGAGCAGCAGAAAAGGTTGTTGGCACAACAGGAAGAATTGGTCAATCTTGACCAAGATGGAGGTGGAGATGAGGCCTTCGCAATGGAGGAGGATGAGGATGATCACCATAGAAGGCGGAGGGCCTCACATTCCCGCCGTATCATGCAAGCTATAGGTCAGATAGCCAAACCCGGACGTGCGGCAAACATCGATAGAAGAAGGGAAAGACGAGGTAAAGATCTCTTGGAAGATTATTTTATTCCCAACAGCGTTTACCCTGATCATGTTTTTAGACGTCGTTTTAGAATGCAACGAAGTTTGTTCGCTAAAATCATGAGTGATGTTTGCAACCATAATCCATATTTTGTGCAAAAAGAGGATGATTTTCATGTTCTAGGTCTTCTTCCTGAGCAAAAAATTACGGCTGCCTTGCGAATGCTTGCATATGGAGCATCTGCAGATCAAGTGGATGAGATCGCAAGAATGGGAAAAACAACAGTTCTGGAGTCCCTGATGCGGTTTTGCTCTGCAATTGAAGCCCTCTACACCAATGAGTACCTTCGGCAACCCACGCCAAGGGACATGCGAAGGCTTCTGAGGAAGGGTGAGATGCGAGGCTTCCCTGGCATGATTGGAAGCATCGACTGCATGCACTGGACATGGAAAAACTGTCCAAGTGCGTGGCAAGGAGCTTATGGCGACAGAAAAGGAGCCAAAAGCATCATTTTGGAAGCGGTGGCTTCTTTTGATACATGGATTTGGCATGCTTTTTTTGGTGTTCCAGGAGCTCAGAATGACCTAAATGTCCTTGCCCAATCTCCAGTGTTTGAGGAACTGCTACAAGGGCGTGGGCCTAGATGCACATATTGGGTTAATGGTACTAAATACGAGGGACCATACTACCTTGCAGATGGTATTTACCCAAGGTGGTCAACATTTGTCAAAACAGTGCCACACCCGCAGAGTGAAAAAGAGAAACACTTCGCAAAGTGTCAAGAAGGGTGTAGGAAGAATGTCGAGCGTTGTTTTGGTATCCTGCAAGCTCGTTAGGCCATTGTCAGGGCTGCAGCTAGAATGTTTGATGTCGAGGCTCTTCGATCCATCATGATGACGTGTATTATTCTCCACAACATGATTGTTGAAGACGAGTATGATTATGATGCCGTCGATGAATACGAGCCGGATCCGATGAACAACTCAAGAACACAAATCTACTATGCTCATGACCGGACCGAAGATCCTGTGCAACACGAGCCGTTGGAACGGGATGGACGTTACAATGAATTGATCGTTCAACGATACACTTCATTGCAAGAGCCATACTAGCACATAGCCCGCCAAAATGACTTGATTGACCATCAGTGGAGATTGCACGAAGGCGAAGATAATTAAAATAAGGCTTGTGGTTGAAGAATAAAGTGTATTGTTTTTTAAGTAATCTTATTTAGTGTGTTTGCTTTTTTTTTTTTAAGTTTAAATGGTGAGGTTATGTAATTTTATTTGGTGTTTTAAGTTTAAATGGTGAGGTTATGTAATTTTAAGTTTAAATGGTGTTTTATGTAATTTTATTTGGTGTTTTAAGTTTAAATGGTTTTTTTTTTAAGTTTAAATGGTGAGGTTATGTAATTTTAAGTTTAAATTAAATAAAGTTCTAAAAGTAAATAAGAAATTACATAAGAAATTAAATAAAGTTCTAAAAATAAATAAGAAATTACATAAGAAATTAAATAAAGTTCTAAAAGTAAATAAGAAATTACATAAGAAATTAAATAAAGTTCTAAAAATAAATAAGAAATTACATAAGAAATTAAATAAAGTTCTAAAAATAAATAAGAAATTACATAAGAAATTAAATAAAGTTCTAAAAATAAATAAGAAATTACATAAGAAATTAAATAAAGTAGTACAAATAAATGCGAAATTATACAAAGTCTGTGGAGTTAGGATATGTGGTGCTAGGATCTTGGTTGCTAGGATTTCTGTAGTTGGAACCCCCTTGACTTGTTTCGGCATCTCTTGCACGCCTCCTTCGCACGACATCTCTTTTTTCTGATGTCCAAAAATATTTTGAATTCGGAGACAGTCCTACTAGAGACTTGTTCATAGTGTCACGATCTGTTTGAGTCATCCTTTCTTCTCTAAGCATCTCATTCTCTCGATGAAGTGCTTCTCTAATCATCTCGTTCTCTGGATTAACTATTTCTCTTTGTCTCTCAGACGCTGCATCACGAGCCTCAGTAGCTGCAATAATTGCTGCCACAGCAGCAGCTTTTTCCTCATCTGTAGCCTTTTCCCATGCCATGTTCATTTCACCTTGACGAGTAAGTTCCTCCATATATTTAGTGTAGTCATTTTTGGAAGAACTACCTTTTTTCTTTGATGCCTTTTTACCTTGAGGCCTGAGGGACTGACGAGTCGGTTGGGTCTCTGGCACTTGTTCAGGCATCCCTTCCGTGTCTTCAAATGTGTTGGCTTCTTGTTCGGCTGTGTCTGCTTCTGGCGAACTGTGTAGACCCATACCGTGCATGACAACTTCTGGACCGGTTGCCACAATTTTGTATCTAGGGCAATCTTTGACAATTTGCCAACATTCCCATTTGTTGAATGATTTGTTATGGTTCTTTGCATTGTAGAATGCTTGTGCTTGTAGTGTCTATAAAAATTACATAAAAATTACATAAGAATTGTGGAATGCATAAAAATTATATAAAAATTACATAAAAATTACATAAGTATTTGGAATGCATATTACATAAAAATTACATAAGAAATTAAATAAATTAAAATATTGATGTGGGGGGAATGCATATAAATAAATAAAAATATTGTTACCTCATCCGCTAAAATTGTCCCACTACGCAAATTACCAGAAGCATGAGAGAGGGCGTTTTTCCAACAAGTAAAGGATGCGTTGAGTTTTTTCCAACGACCTTGAAGACCTTGACTAGATCTGGCATCTTTTCCATGTACATCTTTTCCATGTACATCGTTGAACGATTTCGTAATTTTACTCCACATTTCTCGCTTATCCATCTCATTACCCGTAATCGGGTCATGAGTAGTGCGAACCCAACATTCACACAACGTAACATCTTCACTGAGCTTCCACGAAGTCATTTTTTTCTCTCAAAGTGTACAAAATATTCAAATGTAGAAAGTGTAGAAAGTGTAGAAAATATTGAAATGTAGTGTAAGGTGGAAGATGAGGGTTAGGTATTTATAGAAAAAAAAATTAATTTTTTAAAATTTTTCTGTATTTTTAAAAAATTTTGACATTTTTTAATTAATTTTTAATAAATTTTAATGTTGTAATTAATCTGGACCGTTGGATTTGAAAAATAATCAAATCCAACAGCCAACACGCTGCCACGTGGCCAACGGTCAAATTTCTGACCGTTGGGCTTTTTTTTTTTTTTTTTAATTTTTGGTCAAATAAACGTGGACCGTTGATCTATGATCGGACGGTCCAATTTAAAATTTAAATTTAAATTTTTTTTACCGTTGGAAATCCAACGGCCTACAAAAACTAGCCGTTGGAAATCCAACGGCTTTGAGGAGGGCCACGTCGACCTCACCCAGATGACTGCAAGTGGACCTGTACACGGGCCCCAGCGCCTGCAAATCCTGTCGGCTACTCGCCTGGGCACCCGCGTGTGTTGCACGCGCCAACAAACAGACCGGCTCCTGGGTCTATCCATTTTGGGCTGGGCTGTTGACTGGCACGGGCTGGGTGCCAGTCAATTGTGCGGGTTGGAGCTCATTCCTTGTAGGCCGGGCTATTTTCTTCACTGGGTGCTAGTCAAACCCGCTGGGCTGGAGTTGCTCTAAGTCGCCTGCCTTTTTCAATCCAATCCATTCATAGGGAGAAACCAACAGTGGTGAAACATTAGTAATTTTAAAATTGCCTTCTCCCAATTTTCAAATAAAATAAAAAAATTCACAAAAAAAAAAACCCTGCTTGGATATATTATTATTTTGCTTTTTTGCTTTTTTGTTTTTGCAAATAAAAAAAAATCAAAAGAGTCAATTACCACAGTCGTACGAGTATAACAAAAGGCTAGTTATAACTTATATTATAAACGA